CCCATTTTTTTTCCTCACAAGGTTTATATTGATAGCATAAGAGATTCTTTAAAAAGTCAGAGCACTGTGCTTATATTCATGTATGCTGCAAAACTTAATATGAGGACAAAAAGACAATGTTTTACAAAGATTTCTACTAAATAACATCTATTATCATTAGTTTCATTTTGTTACTTATCCTCATCAAGAATAGCTACACACTTAACTGTGCTCACTTACCCCTTCAATGAAGTTGTTACAATTTTGTTTCAAATAGGCTCTTTGAGAAGTTTCTAATACTTCAAGGTGAAATCCAAACAAAACTGAAAATTAAATATACATATTAGTATTCTTCCATTTTGCTATATATGAGAAGTAAAATTATTTTAGAATTATTAAAGTGCTTACCTTTCAGTGTCTTGAAACCTTAATTGGATCCTTAGTCCATGATGTATACTGTTTATCTGATAAATACAGAAACTACTCTGTGTGGAATGTATTTCTATAATACAGGAGTTTTCTAATTAGATTCAAGTTGTGGACTATGTAGAATTATCTTTCTAGGATATAGTGCTATAAATCAAGTTATTATTTTAGTGTAAGAGTAAATGAAATGCAACTTCTTTTATCATGCACATTTTAAAATTCCATTTCACCCTTCAATATTAATTATTTCTAATAGAGTCCATGACTTGGAATCTCTGTCAGCTACATACATCAAGAAAAGAAAACAACTCTGTATTGTTAAGACTGAATGGAACAACTCTGTATTGTTAAGACTGGATGGAACAAATCTATGTTGTTAAGACTGGGTGGTTAGGAACGAAGAGACAGGAGTGGTATATCCAACCACCAAGAAAAAAAATGGGAAAAAGAAAGAAAAACACTTTTCACATTTAAAAAGATAGTTCTGGGCCTGAAAAGACAGCTAGATACCTTTGGTTCAGGAGCTAGACAGTATCATAAATTCTGCAACAAGGTCTTCAGCTAGAAAAGAAACCCCCTTGTCCTACTCAAAAATAGAGATGGGAAGAAAACTCTTTCCCATTTCACAAAACTGCTTGTTTGGTTTTATTTTCCCCCTTTCCCACAACAGAAAACCCAATATGCTTTGAACAAGAGAGAGAGAAGGAGTATGCAAGTGAGCTGTGTCATACTCTTCTATATTCTGATGTTGAGGGTACTGGGCTTGGGAGATCTAATTAAATTTCTTGGCATGCCAATATCCAAAACTGAGTACCATAGGCCTGCTGCAGGGTTCTCCTCTCAACCTCTCCTAACAGAGTGGACCCATGCAAAGGATTAAGTATTCATCAGGGTATTGCTCGTTTCATCTCCTTGATGCGTTCCAGAACTACCCCACACAAAAGAATCACTCTTGCTCGAGGAAGCTATGTAGGTCATGAGAGGACCTAATTTAAGTTCCTGGTGTGAATAAAAAAAATACAGCTGATTAAAACCAGGGACTCGCTGAAGTTTCCCAGATCCCAAATGGAAGTCTTAAAGGCCATGCTTTTTGCCTCTCTGAAAAATACATCTTTCTTTCTCACAAACCAGAAATTTCAGCTAGCCCCAGCTTTAACATAAGATACGAGCTTTTGTTCTCACCTTAGCTACACACAGGAGCATTTGCATGGCTCTTAAATTAACTGTCCTCCCCACTGGCCAAGGTTCCGGGAAATGAGACCAAATTTTTCACCTCAAAGACCAGCCCTGGACATCAAAATCTTAACTGGTGAATGCTTCAGCAAGAATGGCACATCCCCATTGCTGTGATAAACTAGTATTTTTCAGTGACTCTTTTTTTTCAGTAACATCCCAACCTGAAAAAAGTTTTTTCTTTCAAGTAAATAAACTCCATCATATTCTTCTGATCATACTTACACTGGATGCCTCTGATGCCACGCTGTTATTTCATTACTACAAGGAACGATTCAAAAAAAATTTCACAAAATAGTCTACAGACACAAGTTCGCACAGCAGAAGAACGATCAGGAGGGAAGCGAGGACAAGCTAATGGTATTGATTCTGTAATATTTCTAGCTCCCTCTAGTTCTTACCTGTTTCATACATATCATAACTTGCACTACCTATTACCCAATATTCCATCATGCAATGAGTTAAACATGCTACAAGGGAATACAATACAAATAAATAACTTTCCTAGTGAAAACATGTCAGGCAAAGTCCCAATTTTAAAAATCCCACTCCTGAAAGCATTCTGCATTCAAGCTCTAAGCTAATGAAACACATGGTTAAGTTTTGCCATTCCTTTCTCATCTTGCAGAATATTGTCTTGCATGTATTTTCTTTTAAAACTCAGTATCAAAATTTTATCTGCTTCTAGAAAACTCCATCTTGCTAGTTATGCTAATTTTGACAGCCCCTGATAAAAAAAGACAAAACTTTACAGTTTATATAATTTATATAGTTCACATGTAAATAAAGAGTTACAAAAGTATTCTTCCTTGCTGGCAAATCTATTAAAAAAGCAAAAAGTGTCAAATCATTTTAGTATAGAAAATACTTTGAGCATACTTGCTGAAAGCTGGAGAGGTGAACACACATTGCCAATGTGCTGTACAAGTCCGTGGTACACACGGTTACACACACTTCAAAATCTGACATACACAAATCGGTCACCAAAATCAGATTCTTCACTCTCACAGACTTCATCAGAATCACCAACAAACACGCCTTTTCTTAGACACACTATTTCTCCATCTACAATCACTTTAGGTGGCAGTCACATACATTACTGATTTGTTCCTGAGTCCTTTTCAGTCTTTGTAACTCGGGCGTATCGGTCACAATACTGAACCCTCTTCCTTTGCTTTCTTCAAAGTCTCTTTTGTATTTTACCTACAGAACAGAAAATACAGAAGAACAAGGATGCTTTCATTTTCCACAATGTGCCCCTAGCAATGTAGCATTTCTTTTTTTACTGTAAATGAAGCATTTGTAAAAGACTTTCAGCCCTTAAAGGAGAAGCCTGCCTTCACCCATGAACAGATAGGCAGCAACTGGCCAAAATTCCCCAGTGCCTGAGCAACTGCCTCCTCCGGGGGTGCTGCAAGCCTCACCTCCACGTGTACTGCAATTGTGGGAAGATCACTCTCCGCGATCGTTTCATTTTCAGAGCAGTAACCACAGAACTACAGACGCCAACACAGCATCAAGCAAGCAATTATTTTCACACAAAAAATAGGTATAACTAAATCTGGAGGTCTTCTAACACACAGCTTCATATTTCAGCCTCTCTTCATGATGAGTCTACCAGTCTCTTCCCAGTTGAAACATAAATTACACTTAAAAAAATGTCGCATGAAAAGAGTATTTAGAAGATTGCGAAGTCAAACATTCGTAAATTAGGGAATGGCTGCCTGTACAAGCTTAATTTGTCCCTCTTGCACATATGCATTAGAATATTGTCTTTAATAAGGTACTCATATATTAGCCTTTGACAAGGCCCCCTGCTTTATTCTGTACACAGCAGACATGGTTCTACACGTGGTTGTATCCTTCTTCAGACCAGACTATTCAAATCCTACTGTCAAGGTAGGGATATTTGTTTCCTCAGGAGCTTTTTTATAGCTCTTATCACAGTCATTAATCAATCTTCATAATGCACACTGGA